ATATATATATATATGTACATATATATATAGACGCTTAATTTAAAATAAATATAAGCACGTCATTATTTTCTCGGAAAGTAATAAAAAATTTAATCAGCTGACCTTATAAGACGCCAAAGGAACATTTGAACCGGGATAGGCAAAGGATACTCCTGCGTTCCTCCATCTACGGATCGCCGTTTATCCATGATTGCTCCAAATATTACTAAAATGTTTTAATATTGCGTATGAAGAGTAACTTAGTTAATCGAGCGCGAGCGTGGTAATAATTAGAGTACAATTGTTGGTGCTGTCATCGCTACCACGTGTCTTACCCCGCAGAACAGATCCTTCCGACTCATACGCCTACGTCTTGCACACACCCTTTGTAGAGTCAACAACACTCCATCAACCAGAGTGGATCAATCCCCGATTGGGGAACCTCAGAGTCGTACTCACGCAAGAATCGAGAGTCAAAATAAAAACAATCTCGTCTCCTTATACAAAATTCACATGCTCTTCTCTCTCTTATGAATAAAATTCATTTCACACCACTAAAAGTGCCGTTTATCGCGCAATATTATCGTCGCGTGTTGGACGCAGCCGCCGGAAAACGCCGACGCCGGGCATGATGTTGTTGAAGAGTAGCGCCGCACCGAGAAGAGAGAGTATCACGTGCCACTCGGCCTAGTAACACACTTCCGTCATTCCCTGTGGATGTCCTGCGCGACGCAGGTATGCACCCCGGCACCGGGATAGCGTGTAACTGAAGGGACGTGGTCTACGCGCCCACACGTCCTTGCGGAAAGGATAGTAATGCGCGTGCGACTCTCGGAAAATCCAATGCGCCGGTCGTTTCATCGATCAGCCCAGGAATCTGCTGCTGGACCACCCCTACGGGAGGCAAACCACCCCTCGCAGAGCGCCGCGTTGTACCGCGCCGCGCCACGTTCCCATCAACCTATTTACCCACCTAGTCCATCTAGCCATTTACTCGAGCAGCACCTGATATAACGATGGGCGAGGCCATCTTCCTTGAGTAGAGCAATGACTGGCAAAGAACGCGCAATTTCTTATAATTTACCCTCCATTTGAGGGTGTGTACCGTTAGATTATGATAGATCGATATGATAGATCGAGGAGTATACCAATTGATAATTCATTTTTCACACTAAGGCAAAATGTAACTTTTGCATAAAGGTTGTATTAAAGCTAAGGTGTAAAGTATTGTCTACCGTTGCTTCATCCCGTTGCGTAACATCTTCATTAAAAAAATGATCTTGTATTTAAAGATATTGTTAAAGAATTAAAAAATTTAAGTAAATATAGATCTAAAAATTGTGTTGGATCAAAATAATTATGTAGAACATAATGAAAAATGTTGTAAAAAGTTTTAACATTTTAAATAATAATTTAAGCGTTCTACATAATTACTTTGATAGTCTAACAAAATTATTTTCAAATCTGTATCTGACTAAATTTTTAAATATTTCAGCAAAATCATTCTTTCCGTGCATTATCCTCATGTTAAGATGCTCTTCAGTGAGTCTTTTGTGTTGAGAAAATTCTCGACGTCCTTTAACGTCATATCCAACTCGAATACGATTTCTCGTGCATACGTTATTACTTCGCCTATTTTCAGAGCCTTTTCAAGGTTTATGGGACTAATTTCTATGCAAATTTCTGTATATGTTATCATCTACATCGCCGCTTTCATCCTTTTTTGCTTCTTCACTAATGATTCTTCTAATGGTAAACGCGTCACCATTCTTTTTTACAAAGGTAAAGAATTTCGATAAACTCTCGAAAATTTTCTCAATTCATGTTTTTAAGGATTTTATAATAAATTGGCAAAATCTCTGCCATTATGTTTTCATCATTTTTTTTACTAATGCTTTCTCGTAAATAATTTTTTGTAAAAATATCTGCAAACTTGTCAGAAGAAGTATTAGTATTCTTGTAAAAAATCTTAACAAAATCTCAATTATAATTTAAATTAAATGAGAAATCTTCCTTCGTGTTTCTGATAATCGAAGTAGAATAAGTCATGTATAGCTCGCCTTATATTGATTTTTTTGCATTACCGGAATGTCTAGCTTTCGCAATTTGAGCTTTGATATGTCAAGCGATATCTAGAAAAGGTCTTAACGAAACTAATTTTTGATCTCGAAAAATATCTTGATCTATATTATTTATCTCATTCCTATCCAGAGATTTTCTATTCAAACAAATGACGAACTAAAGATCGTAGCATTATTTTTTCATCTTTACTCCAAGAGAGTGCAATCCTCAAAAGAATTTATTTCAATATAATTAGATTACATCTATTTGCAGGAAAGCTAGCACATTTTCTCTATTATTATCTGTTCTCAGTGGTGTGGATAACGATTTTTATCTAAAGCTATTTTGAGCAAATGTCTCGATTCGTCGAACAAACAAAATCCTACGTCACATTATGGACAATCTCGATTGTCATATAAGAACCGTTCGTTTCTCATGTAATCTAGACAAGAATAAAGTCTTTCTTATAATTTCGAGAGAAGTTCGTTTTTCTTCTTGTCTAACTCTGTAATTAATCACGCGCTAAATATTTCACAATATCGACAACTGGATAAATATTGCTGTGCTTTTCGAGCAATCGTTGTAAAGCTTGGAGTTTTACGGGATATTAAAACGTCGATATCTTACCAACAAATCATCGATTTGCCATTTACATTCACATGAGATCTTTCTCACAATTTCTTCCTTGTCAATACTACTAAGCATTCATTGCATTTGAAGAGTCATGCTTACTACGATTATTTTGTGCAGTACTATTGTATTCATACATTTTCTCTGTTTTAAAAATTTACGAATTTTTTAATAGCTTTATTATACAGATAAATTTTATTTTTAATCGTGGTACTAGTTGGTCTTTGCGACTATTATTAGCGAAATTATTATTAGAATTTGAATTTTCTATATGTCTTTTCATTATAAAAACGCGTTTTTTAATCGGAAATAATTTCATTTCGCTCAATTCGTCAAACTTCACTTTATATATTTAATTTAATTATGCACTTTAAAGTCATTAATTCTTGATTGCACGTTATTTATTAAATCTAGAAAATTTATTAAAATTTCGGACTGTTCATTATTAAAATCCTTATTAATACATATAATATCGCGTTCTGCAATTACAATATTACGATCATATCTGGTTTAAAATATCCAAGATATTGAATAAAATTGTGTTTTTATTATTAGGACAAATTTTTAATTTTTTTTCTACAAAAATATCGAATATAAGAGCGTCATCTTTTATATAATAAACAAAGCACGGCGAGGATTAAAAATTACTAAATAATCGTGTGTGCACGATATCGAGTCTACGCTCGCAGAAATATAACAAGTGACTGTTTAGCGTCCCATCAGAACGGTGCGTAAAAGAGATTGCCTTTTGCGAGAATGCCTCAAATCATGGCAGAGGCGTTCGCGAGAGGATTGCTAGACAAGATAATGATTGAAGTTCTAGACGTTATAGATCGCGATGCAGAGGATGGTAAGGTGCAAGCTCGTCTGTATATCTCGTGAATGTAATGGCGGGTTGAATAGAGATGTTGTACGCATACAACATTGTTCATTGATAAATGTCGTTTCATGATACTGTAACAGCATGGTTTTCAATTGCAATCGACATACATTTCGCGAAGATAACTGCCTGCAGACGCGTATAATTATCTCTGTTAGACCCAAATAACGTATATACGTTAAATACTGTTATTAGGAAAATCCTGGAAACAGCACGTCACTGAAGAAACAGACGATACTCAACTGGAACATGTACACGGTAGACCGCAAGCAAACGAACTTACACGCATACATTATAGCAAGGCCGACGAAATAGAATTGATTGCAAAGATAGTTCGTGATTTGCGTGACATACGGATCGGAGATTCGCGTTATGTTCTTCCGCCTTCATTGTTAACATTGGAGAAACAGGTAATTGGATACAACTTTCCAAGACATAATTATTCCGTTATACTCAATTGTTGAGATTATAATTATTGTACATAAGGAAAGAGAGAAGAAAATAGGAAATAATAAACATACAAAAGACTTCAAATTATGATAAAATTTTTAATAATAATACAATATCAAATTGTTTTATATACTATTTGTTTAAGTCTTCAAATTCTAATTTATTTCTAAGAAAAACTTAATACTGTATTAGCTTCGATATTTCTATCAATTTGATCAAAATTACAATCGCATCTTTTTCGATGTAAATATATTTAAAAAATATACTAATTGACTTTCATTTAAAATAAATTAAATTAACGTCATAAAAATTAATTATAACGTAAAAAAAATTAAATTTAACGTTTAATGTCGGATTTTCACATGTTTATTTCATCACAGACGATTCTAGTTAAATCGCATGGCCGTAATTGCAGAGTATTTATATATATATTATTGTTATATATATATTATTATATATATTATTGTACATACGAGAGGTTCTGCGTTTGCGGTTCTCTAGTATCGCACCTGTGTCACATTAATTCCATGCACGACTATTGTTTCTTGTCCGTGTGTTAGGATGGGAAGATCTACTCACGAGACACGCGCTTGTCTTTGCTTGAACAGGTGAAATACGCCACTTGCAACGTCGACGATGCACCGCTTATGAATAATCCAGCAACCGACATAGCCGAAACTCAACGCACGACCCGAGGTCAAGGCGACACGTATCAGATTAACGCGACAATTCTCGAATCATTGATTGAATCGACGGAACCAGTGAAATTGATTCGAAAGAAAAAGGAAGGAGAAGCGACTAACGAAGCGACTAACGTGTCAGTTGATTTACTACAACAACTGATCGAAGATTTAGAGAACAAAACAGTCTCGACTTGCTCTAAGGACGATGCCTCTTTAGACTCGGTCAGTAAGGAATGCATTGCCGTTTGGGAGGAGAAAGAAGAGGAATTTATTAGGACTATTGAGGGCAATGTTGACACTAGACATGAGACTACAACGGGGACTCTTCAAGGTAGCGAATCAAACAGTCGCTTCCGCATTATCAAACTGAAGCACGATGAAGAACTGAGATCTCACTCAAGTCAACATGTGGCGTCCACCTCAAGAGAAGCCGACCTCGAAGAAGTTCATATCGAGAAACGTGGATCGAATTCGTTATCGTCGTTGAAACCATTGTGCGATGATGACAAGAAGACCATAGATCAGATATTACCCATCGACGACGCAGAGAAGAGAAAAACGTTCAATGAAACAACAACAAAAAAGAAGAAGAAGAAAGGCTTTGGCAGTCGACTGAGGAAACTCTTCCGCACCTCCTTCGGCCGTCAGAAGAATTGATTGCTGAGTTCCGGAAGGAAAATGCTATCTCATGATCTACGTTAAATGGCGGGCGATTCCCTTCGTTTGCTCGTACAACTTTTTAGTCATGTATTTTTTAGAAGGAACACGCCCATAAATACATAGCGAGTAAAAATAACCGGTAGCGTAGTCACCAGCCGCGGGTCTTCGGCATCCAACACGACTTCGGTGCAACGCGTGAATCAGACTCTATACATTTCTAGATGGTAATCGCAAACGTTGTACACAAACTCGCAAAATTCTGTAAAATATATAATATCTGATGATCTCATAATGCGTGTCACATTCTTTAGTTTAAACACTTTAAGTGATTTAGTTTAGAAATTGATAGATATAGAGATTACTAGTGATATCGAAGTTTGCAGAATATATTTTTGCTTGATGCGTCCATCGCGCGGGCACTGCAGATCTGGCAATCTGACATAGGAATGTCATCGTCGAAGTCTCATTTATCGCAATAGGAAAAGACATTCGCCAACTCTCGCCTCTCTCTCGTCGCTTCTCGAACTGTTTTTGGATCGCGGTGTTGCCATGCCCCGTCGTCGTCGATCCGGACCGAAACTTCTCTCGCAGATTTGGACCTCAGCATCGTTCGAGGGTGTCCTCGTAGCGCCATCTGCAAAAATAAAATGAGTAAATTTGGTAACACCGGGTACCACTTCTGGTTCAAGCTTCGTTCGGTCAACATCCACTGGTACCAGACGATCAACAATGGTAAGTTTCGATCCTTCTTTCTTTTTTGCGAGAATTTTTCTGACAGCTTCTTCGTGAATGATAAATTTAATAAATTACGGTTAAATCGTTTTTATATAAATATGTAATATGATAGGGAAGTGTTGAAACGAATAATTTCAGTATAATGAAAAAACTTTCTTGTACTTTTCAGGCAGACCTTAGCAGCAAGGATGTCGAAAGTGAGTAAAATGTTAAATTGTTAACATTTTCGCGTTCTGTAAATCATATAGAAATAATGAAGATAGATTAATTAATTTGCATTGCAGTGAAACTTAGTGAAACTGTAAGTGAAACTGTAAGTCTATATATAATTTCGTAACTTTGAGTCACGCAATTAGAAGGAAGTGAGTGAAGTTTAAATAGAAAAAAGATAAAACTTCTATCATCTTACCAAAACGGATAGCAAATTTGTCAAATCATTTCATTAACTAATAAATTCATTAATATTAAAGAGAGTTTTGCTGAAATTATTATTCTTCATATTTCTAAAAATTGTTTAGCTAACAAAACAATCTCTTCATTAAATATAAATGTTTTATTATGTAATCATCATTGAATTGTTTAACAAAATACTTAAAAACTAAAAAATTTTGATAGTTTTTGAAACATTTCATTTATTCTCCTTAACATTAGAAAAATAAATAATTTTTTCTGTAAACTATTTCCATTAACTTAAAGTTAAAGAAAATTTCATTTTTTTTCTAATTTATACTTGTTCCCATATTCATTATTTTTGGATAACTATTTTTTTATATTAAATCCGATGAATTATGTCGCGTAAATTTTCTTCGCGGTATTTCCAATTTGCATGTTACGTTCCATTTTTGACGTTACATAACGACTAGGGAGGTAGGTGGATGTGACCGTTCCGTAGCGCGTCAAAAATAGGTTGGTAGGCTGTTCTTATATGGTTCGGCGGGGGTAATCTGACCCACTACTTCCACCACCGACTTCTTCAATCAGTGGTGGGGCTTACCTCCTCTCCCAAAATAGAAGAATATTTTTGAAGATACAAACGCACGCGGTGTACTTCATGCCTACGCAGATTTATTAATCCAGATTTCGAGCACATCGCATATTTAAAAACAATACCAAATACTCATATCTATACAGTATCACTCAAATAGCACACAGCGCTTACAAAACGTTAACAAAGCGCTAAAAAAGCGCAAATAATCGCTTTTTTAGCGTTTTGCAAGCGCTGCTGTGTTACTTGGACACACACACACACACACACACACACACACACACATGTATATATGTATATGCATATAAAGTTATACAGCAAAATTCTTCTTAATTACGAAGATCTTTTTATTGAGACCGTTTGATCATCGGTGACCTCCCTTACAGTATAGATGAAAAAGTGCATAAGAAATTATTATTTTTGTTAAAAAGGAGCAGAATTCGCTTTCTCCATTTACGACTCAGACGGCACCAACGTCATCGATGCGGTTGATCTTGGCAACGTCCTTCGCGCGTTGAACTTGAACCCTACAAATGCGACCATTGAAAAGCTGGGCGGCACGAAGAAGAAGGGCGAAAAGAAAATGAAACTAGACGAATTCTTGCCTATCTTCAGCCAGTGCAAAAAGGATAAGGAACAGGGATGCTATGAGGACTTCCTCGAGTGTTTGAAGTTGTACGACAAACAGGAAAACGGAATGATGCTCGGCGCAGAATTGTCTCACACACTTCTATCACTTGGTAGAATTTCCTCTTTTTCATCAACAATTATTTACAACTTATAAAAAAAAAATTAAAATTTGCTTTTTTATTTTTATTACGTGTCATTATTGTATTATACAAATAGTACAATTTTGTGTCTAGAATAAAGATCTGTGTGCAGCTTTATTATGTTATAAGTAATAAATATTATTTTGCGAATATTAACTTTTAAAATATTATATTGAATTAACGTTTTATTTCTAAAAAGACATAAGTTAATATGATCTGAATAATCGCATTTATGGTAGGTGAACGTCTTAATGATGAGGAATGCGATACAGTGATTAAGGATTGCATGGACCCAGAAGACGACGACGGTTTCATCCCCTATGCTCGTAAGTATCATTTCATTTTGGGTCGGGTATCGTGAATGCGCCCCCCCCCCCCCGAAATAAACGTAGAGCGTCGAATCATCTGCCTCACATTGACATAGAATACATTAATTTGAAGAAAAATCCCTATCTATTCTTTAAGGCCCCTAAAACCGTTTTGTTAGAACTAGAAAGTCCCCCTTGTATATAATGTTTAGTTGACGAACCCCTCGATTTGTAATATGGACCTCCAGTAACTTCCGGCAACATGAAGAGATCCCCCGGATTCGATTTGTTCCCACCCCATATTGTTTGACACTTCCACATTTTTGTGTTTCGCAGCCTTCTTGAAGAAGATGATGGTACTGTTGTAAGCAATTGAGGTGTTATCGAGACAATGATCATCCATCGTAAGTACACCCTGTAGCGTAATTCCATGATTGTCCGCCGTGTTGTTTCTTCATCTACGTCTTGTTTATCTGTCTCTATCTTTTTATTTGTATCCATTAACATTGTCTCGTCTGCATTTTCCCGCTAAGCATATTTCAGAATTTATAGGACGCAGCGTTGCAGCTCAACAGGGATGCTGGAAATCGATAACCCGCTTCTCGCGCAGAAACACGTACCTACGAAGGTTTTGCTCGCGCGCGGGGTCAATGATCTGACGAGATTATTAAGGAAAATTGCATAGAATAAGATTAAATAATCAAGATCAATAAAAAATTAAAACAAAATAAAAAAATATATATTAAATATAACTTTTTCTCTATAAAACTTGTATTACGGTCTCTTTTTAAATGAATTTTAATTTCCTTTATTTAAATATCGTGCTTTAATCTTCGTGTAAAAGATCAATTTATTAGATATAAAACAATTTTATTATGCATTTTATATTAATTATACATAATTATACATAATTATATAAATTATATCTTCTACATATATGATCCTTCTGTTATAAAAACAATTTTTAATGTCCAAACTCTAGTATTTCTCTGCTACGCGAATTATTAATGCTTCTTTGTACATTATTTATGTACTTATCGCTTTTATATATTTCTTGCTTTGCTATAAGAAAAATCCACATAGCAGCGCAAAATTGAGCACTGACTGCTATTTAAATTAGTTCTAGCTGTTTAAATCATTCAGTACTTTTAGCTTCGCGCATAAACTAATTTTCTTTATCTCTGCCTTAAAATATATGTTTATCGTCTCTATAAAAATATGCTTATTCACTTGTCAATGTTTCGCGATTTTCCTGAGCGGAATAATATATTGATCGTTCTATTTCGTTCACAGCGTTCCTTAAAAAACTGTGTGAGAGGGCGGCAGCAACCGATGATTAGGATGATCGCTGTCAATATCTATCTGCCAAGCCATGTCGACGATGGATACATTCGCCATATTTGCTCGTCACATTCATCATTTTTTTTCATCTCCCCCTTCCTCGCTAGATTATGCGAGGATTCACTTAACAATTTGCACGTAATACGCAATACGATCCTGGAATTAGCAGCATCAAAGTATCAGCATTTTATCGAAGAAAAGCAAAAAAGGAAGAAGGTTCACAAACATCGAAAAAAAGAAAAACAATACTTTATTTCGAATGCACGTAATATTGTTATTTCATTCAATTTCATACAATACAGCGTCTATATTAAATTTACACAATAAAAAAATATTTTAATATAGCTACATTGTACAAAGTCAAATGAAATGGTCGGTATTAATTTACTTCTTATTGTTACTGTAATAAATTACTCCTCTCGAATCAACGAAGAGGATTTAAAAATTCCCCAGTGTTGATATCTTGAAAATCTGTTCGATACATATTGCGTTTTATTTCAATATTAATTAATTCCCTCGTTTAATACAATATTAATTTTCAAACAGTTATAATTTATATTGCTTGTGAGATCCAAGCTTTAATAACATAGGTAAAATATTTTAACGTGACAAAATATAATGTCCCAAAGATTAGTATAGATTCTTTATTGCTAGCGTATAAGTCTGGCTATTTTTGCCTAACTGACATTTTCTTGCTCTACTTAAGCAATCGCGTGAGAAACACGAACAATAAGCATGTCACTGCCGAAATCTATTTAAAAATTGCATTAGCATGCTAGATTCTCTTTATTATACAAAACATAATAATAGTGTAATCATTGTCTTTTATAAATTTTAACGTGTTATACAATTAATAGTCAGAACACTAATTATTCAAGTAGAACTTTTTCTGGTTATTCGAACTATTTTTGTAAGAAACACGCTAGGTAATTATAAGTAGAAGTAAGATATAACTGTAAGTACTTGGAAACTATCAAAATATTTTTAGTTGTTTTAAGTCAAGTTTAAAGGATAGAACTGAAATCGATAAAGATAACTTTTGCGCAAAACCACGAGTTTAGCTGAATGAAACGATTAGTTTTATATATAGATAAAATTGTAAATAATGAAAACGATTAATCTCATAAAAATATCGATGTGCATTAACCATCATGAGTCTTTATAAAATTCTCGTCATGTTGATGTTAATATTAATTAATCTCTAACATAAAATGGATTTATAACCCTAGGTGCTTATATCATCATGGTGAATTTAACACCATGGGTGTGGATTTAACATCATGGATTTAAATTTTATGATGTTAAATTCATATTATGTTGGTGTTAATATTAACACAATAGAAATTATATAATTACCGCAAATATTTTTTTAAGTAAGCTTGAAAGCTATTAAAGCTATGTTGTTTTTTAGTTGCTTTAAGTCAAATTTAAAGTTTTAAGTCGAGTTTAAGAGTAGAATTTGGCTGAACGAAATTCGCGTAAAATTAGAAATAATGAAAATAATAAATTTTATTACTAAAAAAAAATCAGTCAGAACGGATCATTTAACACCATGCAGTGTCTATACAATTCTCACCGTGTTAATATTTAAGTATAGATTTGTAACTCTTGGTCTTTATATCAACACACTGTTATAATGTGGATTTAAAATCCATACTATGACAATATTGATATAAATATAAATATATATAAATATATATATAATGCTAAATCTATCACAGATATTTTTTTAGAATGATACGATATCTTTGCACAGCACGATTCGCGGATCAGTTTAGATTGAGGTCGGGCAAATCTGCGCCAGCTCTCAAATAGAGAAAGATCTTCGGCTGATCTCCAGCTATCATCTGTCGTGACATACATCTCTCAGCATCCACAGCGAGCATCCACGAAAGAAAATGATTCGATCGATAAATCGCGTTTTTAAGCGCGGATTTCAATCGCGCATGAGATCTTTCTTTTCTCTCTCGTCATCTTCTCCTCTCACATCATCATTGTACCTGCCTGATGACGGAGCGTGTTTGTTGTGGGTGGACGGACACGACGTGTTCGTTCGTACGCGCTCGGCAGGCTTCGCTTACAGGGACAGAGGCAGGCGTGGGGCCACAGCTTGGTCCCGGCGAGCCGGCGGTGGCGGCGATCGAGTCAGTCAGTTCAAACGCGTCGGTTCAAGCGCTGCGCATCTCTTCAATCGTTCCCCCGAGTGGTGTAATCATCAGCCGTTTTACTTCGCACCTCGTTTAATTTGCATCCTCTTGTCTCCGCGCGTATCACCTCTCGTGTACAAATCAAGGGGGTATAGTTACACTATTGCACCGTCGCGCGCGCGCGCGCGAGACGTTGAAGCGGAGTGCTTGAACAGGGAAGGTGAGAGGATAGAAATCCTCCGGAGCCAGAGTCCTCTAAACGACCACCGCCTAGATCGCCGTAAAGGATGACGGATGTCCAGGCGAACCCGGGTGGCAGACTACAGCAGAGCGAGGTGGCTGCGGCGCAGCAAACAGGTTGGTCCCGCTTGTGGACACCTTTGCGCTTCCTCCTCCGCGTCGACGTTTATTTTTGCGACCGACAACCTTGAGATTACATCCGTGGTCCACGGATACTGCCGATTGGAGCAAACAGCGCGCGCGCGCGTTTTCCGCCATTTTGACCTGGCTCTCGTAGATAGAGGATCTGATCTCGCGGAAAAAAATCGTTCTTTTCCGCATCTCGCATTGTCCCTGCGTCGCTGATCTTCTCACGCGATCGTTAAAATGAGTTGCACGTCTGCGGAACGGCGTTCCTGATCCGCCGTGCGATGCAGCGGGTGCGGTCCACGAAAGATACACGCGATATCAGAGATGATTGATAAACGATTTGATTTCATTCTTTTGAGAAGTTTGAGTGCTCGTCAAAATTGAGACACACAAATATGTAACCCTCCATTAAATTTCTATTTCTGCAAATTATTTTAAAAGCGAAGAGACTCATTAAAGCGTATCTATGCAGAGCATTCTCATTTATTAGCCTTCTAGAAACATCGATGAACAATTTTTCCTCACGTACCATCGTTTTATTTCAATAAAATGTTTTTCGAGGTATAAATTGAACTGAACGCATCAATCAGCTTTAATGAATCTTTTTCTGTTTATCTGATTCTCTCACCAATTTAGTATTATATATTGTTTATTCATTTTTGTATTGTTCATGACATATTATCTACATCTTGCTGCTTTACAGCGCGCTTACCATGCATATAATAATGTATTGTACATAATTAGGTAATATATATATTGATATTTACATAATTCATAATAATTACACTGCGTTTAAACACTTACGTTACGGAAATAACTCATAAATTTATTATATTTATCACATTTGTTACATTTATCATTGATTACCTTTTCTGTTTGAGTTAATATTGTAATAAAGATAAATTTTCGATTCGACAAAGATTTTGTGGTTCTATCTGGAGACATGGCAGTGTCTCGGCGCTAAGATAAGCGCAGCGTCATAGCACGTAAGACATATATAATACTTATTTTTATATATTTGAGTATTAAAAATGTCGGATAAATTTACAATTATCGAACCAAAACCACCTACAACAATAATTTATATTTTATCCATTTTAATGTTATCTATTTTTAACTTTGAGACTCTAAATAATATATGCTTATCTCTGATACACAACAAGTATTTCCATTAAAAATGATAGAAAAATCGTATCGGTATGAAAACGGGCTTTTGTAAAAAAACAATATATTTCAAGTGGCCTCATATGCAACAACTATATGTATTAATACAATAATAATTAATAAACAATTTGTCGAGGTTTTGCTAACTGTCGTGAAAAGATTAAATACATTTTTTACTAATAAGAGATAAAAGAAAATGTGAAGTAAAACAAACTTGAGAACAGATATATTTTATTCTAAAATATTGCATATATTATACTATACACAATATATATATATATACTTATTCAAATATACATGATACATTAAATAATTTTCCGATTATGCTTATCATAGATACATCAATTGCATCTACGATAAGATGGAGTCTTGTTTACGAATTGCATGCAAAACATAATAAAATATGATACTAGTCTATTCGCGTTGTCAGCATTAATTATTATCGGAAAGATTCGAATGCACGGCCACATGGGAACTAGCAAGAAATATCACTACAACGTTTTGCATAGATTTATGAGAAAGACTGTACGGTGACCTCAACGTCTGGGAACATTATACCCAGAGCGATGAGAAAATCCAGCGTATAACATAGAACCGTATGACTGAGAAGCTTTTTTAACCGCCACTTTAATCTCAGCCATACTCTCCTCCAATGCACTTGTACACAATTGGTCTCTTCTGCTGTTGGAATCAATCATGATACGGAAATAATTATGCGCGACTGTGGGAAAAAATATTCGTCTTTCGTTTATTACCATTGACAAGCTGCAAAGAAGTTCGACACAGTTTTTCGCTATTACCGTACTTGACATAGTTGTATATATCTGTAATCTACAATCTTATCTTTGGAACTTCTCTCTCTCTCTCTCTCTCTCTCTCTCTCTCTCTCTCTCTCTCTCTTCCTCTTTATACTGAGAGAAAATTTTCGGTATTTACAATTGTAATTATACATGTTACCATAATTATGATTAATGTACTAATGTTAGAGTAATAATAATTACATTTATAGTAATTATTACTAATATTATAGCAGTAATAATTAAGATAATTATGATAATAATCATAATAATGCTAATTATTATGACGAATTCGATTGGACGCATTAAACACAAATTAACATAAAGATGTGTTTATTATGTACATAAAAACCGGTTAAACCGTAAAATATTCAATATACTTTATTGCTGTTAGGTTAAATATGTATTTTAGAATTCGAAATATTTGCATTTTACTTTTACATTCAGATTAACTCAATGTATAATAGTTTTAAAATATTCACCAATGTGCACTAGTGCGTCCAATCGAATTCGCCGTTAGTAATAATAATAATTATACATATAGTTATTATTACTCTAACATTATAACAATAATAATTATAATTATGGTATCATGTAATTATAGCTATATAATTATGTTTTTATAAACAACTTATGTTTTTATAAACAACAATCGAAAAACTGTCTTTCAGTGTATTATCTGAATTCTAAAATATGGCTTGACATTTGCCATTTCAAATGATTGCAATGATCAGCGAGAA